TGAAGATGTGAGGAATTCCAGCTTTAAATTGCACAAATTTTGCATCAATAAAATTTTCTGTATTGATCTGTATAGCCCTACCTTAATGACATAAAGGTTAGAAGAAAAACAACAACCATTCAGACTGTCATAAAAAACAGATTTGAGTCATTTATGTCTGGAAATGTAGCCTAATACTCCAAATTWATATATTTCTTTCTCCTAAAATTGCCAAAGTGAAATACTTAAGGTTAATGTTTTAAAACCATGTCTGAATCATATTTTTTATTAGATTTCTGATTAACAGAGCTACAGTTCCAAAGAACATAATGCTGAGGTAGAGTCAACCCTGATCTCTGCAACACAGAAGGGTCCAGGTTGAAGTGAAGAACAAGCTCAGCAGAGATGAGACCAGGTCTGTGAGACCTCATGTGAGCAAACTTTTCATACCCAACAATATTTTTTTTTACTCGAAATGTAATCGCTGTAATGATCGCAGCACAGCAGRACAAGCAAACAAAGAGAAAGGTTGAATAAATTCACCTCTTTGAGTAGTATTAAATCTGTGAAGGGATTCCCCTGAACATTTATTTTAAAGGTTGTAGGCTGCTAGAGTGTGGATCCCTTTTGACAAGATGTCCTGCATTAATGAAGTATCTGATGAACACTTCACCTGCCTTGGAATTGTAAAAACAAAATAAATCAAACAGCTTTTGGTCTCTRAGCTGAAGCTGTTCAATAACACGACTCAATACTTAAAAATGTACAACAAACAAAGGTCCCTCTAGCTGTAAAAAGTATAATCAAACATTACAGTTCTGCCTGTGCACATAAAGACAGACACGTTTTTTTTCTCTCTGACTGCACCAAGAAGTCATTTTCCTGCTCATTCATTTGGCGAAGCGGCTCAGCCACGAACACATTACACCCGTCTGGACCTGCGACACATTAACCTTGACAACACAAGCTGAAGCTGAACGTTATCAGCTGACCAGGTCACATCTCGGAGTGAGCCTCGGCCCCCTCGGCCCCGCAATAAATAATTCATGAGGAGACGGGCTAAGAAAGCGAAGAGAGCCCAGCCAACTTCAGAGCCAATCATTTGGCGAAGTGTACGTACAGCTCTCTCATGCTTATAGCTATTGATTATGTGCCACGTTAGCAAGAAGCTCTGCAATAGATTACAAACAAAACAGACAACAAGACGGGCTTTGCTGTCGACGCCCGTTAAGTGTTGACTATATAAGAGAAGCCGAAGAGAGCTGATGAAATGATGGAGCTTCACCTCGGCGCATGAGCTGCTGGATATAAACGCTTCAATAAGCTCCAGGTTTCCATGTAGGAGCAAAAAGGGAACGTGCGGAATGACAAAACCTTAAATGGCGGATTTGTCTGTTACACCTTAATCTGTTAAGAAACTCTGGTGCGGCAGCTGTAGTAAAGCCGATTTCAAGTCTGCAGATAACATCAGCGGGTATCAGGGAGATGGCAGCTCTCTGAGGGAAATGGCTCTGCTGATATGCAGATATTCGGAGACGATGTGAACAGGCGGAGGATTACTCCCTAACTATGATGGACACGCTCTTAAATTTCATTTTCCAGGCAACTTTGGATGCATACACCCCCCATCTCAAGATTAAAAAAAATCATTTGTATATGGGTGGGTTAAAGTGGTTAAGAGGTCACAATGCACAAACTTTGACTTTGTCTCCTGCTTCTAAACACAAGTGATTGATTAATAAGGGTATAAGAAAATATTGATACGGCATTTCATTATGTGCAACTATATTCTCAAAAGCACTGTATCAATTTTTAATTAAGGTTTAAAATGTAAACTTTCATGAAAGCGTATAAAATAATAAAGTGTATTTTAGTCTCTGACCACTAGTTGGCAGCACTCAACCAGCCATTTGGTTCCTTCACTCCTGAGGAGCATGAGCATAGACATTTATCAAGAATAGACACCTCATGGACCGCTATTTATTAGCGCCAATGACCTGTGGAGGCCGCCTTGTGAGTAAACGTTATAGTAAGCACTGATGGYTGAATCTGAGTGGATTAGACCGACACCCGCTGCCTTCAAAGTTGCGACGTGAACTGGGGTTGGGCAAAATGCTATTGTGATTAAATAATCAGGAAATCTGTCAACAATTATTATTTGCCATTTGGCAATTAGCACCAATTAGTGATGGTGTATTTTTATGTGCAACACACTCTCACTATCAAGCGCACATGTGAGCCAGTGGTGTATTGTATYACTAAAGATATGCTGCCAATCAGCATTGTGGAAAAGGTTGATTTTATTTAACAACTTACAAATTTAACCTGTTAAAATGAAGAGTTTAGTTTGATGATTTGTAAGTGTAATTTTACAACAGTGTCACTAATTTAGACTCAAAAACATGCAAATGTAATTGTCATCTATTAACTCTTATATGCTAAATGCCACAATTAACTATGATACATTTTTTTTGCCAATATGGCCCATCCATAGTGTGGATTCATTTCAGGTTTCAAAATAAAGAGGTCAGTAAAGACTGATAAAAGCTACGCTGTTTGCAAAATCTGCCAGAGCCAAACACCCAAGTAACACAACGAATATTGAAGCACATGGCTWGACACCACAATGATGTACAGCGAGACGCTAATGTGAAGCCAGTTATTCTGCCCAGTTAAGTCGTGGAACCAAGATAACTCAATCCTTTGCAAAGACATGTGCCCTCTTAGTGTTGTAGAGAACGAAGGCTTCTGTGACGATGAAAACACTGGAGCTCTATTAGAACATACCTTCTCATCACTGACATCACTTTGCCTAAGGATTGCCTAAAAATAAGCTGAATTTGATCTGATTTTATTCATGTAATGCATGGTGATGTTCCTTGCTTACAGTATTGCAAAATGTCATATCTTGTGGTGATATTCCTGATACGTATCATATCACTCAATTCTTTATTCCATATCTGTTAAGTACCTTCTCTTGTGCTTCTTTGGTCTCTGAAGACAAGAAAACGAGTGGCTTAAAAAAAAGCTCCAGTGTTTCTTTAATTCGAGACAAAATCTAATAAGCTGCATTTGTTGACATTTTTGGAAAGCTGGAGGCATTAGGAGGGAGCGAACAGAAGTAGTCATTAGCAGTTTCACTTTTAGCGGAGACACAGGCAGCCTTCATYGAATTTACTGATAGTTAAGGGCCCCCTCCAAAAAAAAAAAAATAAAATAACAATATAAATGTCACCATCATCCAAGATAGTTACAAGAAAACATCTTTGATTTTTTAGAAGTGTTGGCGAGTAAACAAACACAAGTCGAACCTCAGAAACTGTCACAATGCTTCGAATAAATTTCAGTCTCACTTCAGTGTTTTTGTCTCTGACTCGACGAAATGCAAGGCTGTGAGAAAATAACGTCACAATATCATCTCCTTCTATGTCAGATGCATGTAGAGCGAGCTCCAGTAAAAACCACCTCTCAGATTTTATGGTCATGTTGAACCATGTTGCAGTCTGAATGCAGAAACGTTGAATAACTAAAGCTGTTAAAAACAATGCCCATGCTAATAGAAGTTGAGTTTATATGACTGAATTGGAAAATTGACGCAACTATTACAGCTACTTTTTGCATTTGAGTTGCATCAAAGATGATCCTACAGATGGTAGGCAACAAATTAGGGGTGCTCCGATAAAACAGACAATTTATTGGCATCGATTTCCCTAATTTTGGGAGATCGGCCAACCCTTCTATAAGATCAGTGGAAAAGCTCGGCTTCTCATCTACCTGCATAAATGTCTGAAAACCAGCCACTGTCCCCTTTTGCTCTGCTGTGAGCACTACCTGATGTCCAGCTAAAGGTTTGTATTGTTTCAAGGGTATTGCTCAATGTTTTTCAATAAAATAAGAYTGGAACATTGAAGGTGTATTGTGATCTTATAACAACAGCGTCAGCTATTTAAAAATCATCATCTGCCAAAATCAGAATCTGCAGGTCTGACTTTTYAAAGATCTGTGATCGTCCATAAAACTGCAATCATGCACCCCTACACCAAAATGGAAGAAAAAAATAGGATAAAAATAAATATTAAAAACTGAATACAGACAGAAAACAGTGTCAGGATTCTGCACCTTCCTTCAGACACCAGCAGGGATTTATTAGTGCCTTGTTGGCCTTTATCAGCCTTTATTCTGCAGCGCTTTAATGCAACCGAACCACCGGGACACATATTGTTGTGAACCATCTCCTGCCAGGTTTGGCCAGCGTCAACTCTTGGCCTCATCTCCACATTTAATACATGGAAACATAATGAATGTGCGCTCCTAATAAGCAAGGAACGCCAAGTGGCACAAGGACAAAGCAAACCGAGCTAATCCCTGTCACAGCCTCCTGATTTCCTGCTCCAGCTTCAATTCTCTCCCGTTAGGCTGTTTTTTTCTTCTTCTTCTTCTTCTTATTTTCCCCGCTGTGCAAATTTGGAAGCGTCACCGTCTGCCACAACGTCTTACCTTATCAACAAAGCATGGCAACCTCGCGCAATCTCTTCATTTCAAATTATAAGGAGGTGTTATGAAAATGAATTCTAGAAGTGCCGGAGCATTTTTATTTTATTTTTTTGCTGACTCTAACATACAGACTGAAAAAAAATGTGCACAGGATGCAGGAGTGAAAATGCTGTGAATGGACAATTGTAGCTGTGGTGTGATGCACAATGCAAATGAATTCAGCAGTCAGAGGATTTTGGTGCAGAGGTGGTGTCATATTGATGTGAGGACTAACTCAGTTATGTATATATCTTTTTTAAAGCCACATTTAAAACAAGACTTGGTATATTTCTCTTCTGCAGGAGGCAGACCTTTACCATTACAGGTCACTTAATTTGACAAACTGACAGTGACAGCTGAAAACATTTGCTTCTAACAGCATTTGTTAGATCATTATTTGCTCTGCAGCAGCAAGCCTGATTGATAATTATTCTAAGAGTCAGAGGGAAGAGAGAGGATGACAGCAGACAGGGCACGCTGTGTTGTACCTGACTTCAGGAAGGAGGCTCAGAAGAAGGAGAAACACCCACAAGATCAGGTCCTGGGATTTTGTTTTCCACAATCGAGCGGCCATGTTGGTTCGGCGAAGAAGAGCTCCTGCAGGGAAACRGAGAGAAATGGCTTCAAGTACAAGGACTTAACAGGTAGCAGCAGAGTGTGATTGACAGACATCTTGTCCCGCCCCCTCAGTTTGCTGCTCATCTGGGCCAGTTTGTTCAGCCGAAGGCCACAGGCTTCAGCTAATGACGGTGGACATACAATAAGGTGCCTCAAGCGCGAGCGCATGTGGGCGTGGTCAATTTAAATAGAGGTGGATTATTCGATTTTCTTCATGTCTTTGGAGACAAAACTGGAAGTCATGAGGCTGGGGACGATAGACCAAAATATAATCAAATTAAATGGGTCACAGAATGTTTTACAGCATATAAATGAACTGGTATTTGGAGATGTTTTTAATTTTTCACATAAAATAATAGTAGGATTCTTGATTTTTTACACATTTTGTAACCAAATTTGTCCTTTTCTACCCAATTCACAGATATAGGGCTCAGTTTTCTTCTAAACCCCTGCAAAACAGGCAGTTCACAGCTTAGTTTCCACTRGTTCAGTAGAGTTTCAGCTCAACATTTTATTTTCAACACAGGAGGTGAAGTGTCTTTTGATTACCCTCGAAAATCTTTCAGAAACTAAAGTTCTTTAGGTTGTTCGTACACTGAATAGAACCTATCCCTAACCTCCCCTCAGTTTTCACATTTATCCAATCAATGACAGCATGACATTAACCGTTTCATGAGAGACACAAATCAAAAAGTGTTTATTTGGGTCCAGGTCAACTTTATGAGGGTTGAAGAAAACCGTAAAGTTTTACAGAGGTTAGAGCTGAGACAGGAGATACTATTTAGTTTTTATCCAAGTCTCTCAATAAGACCTGTGTCTAACTTCAGCTCAGTTTGGGATTATCAGTGTGAAGCTGATACATTTTCTTTCTGGATTAATGGTCACATAAGCCAATCACCAACACTGGGAAGAAAAAAGTTTTTTTCTGATTGCACGATACAATTTTGCCCAACCCTACTGACTTTTTGAATTACAAAGTCATTAGTACTAACAAAGTGTAAACAAAAGTATTGACCTCATATTTAAAGTTTACTTCTGTTTTAAGATCCGAAACATTTCCCTCTAACCCAAAAGATTTAATGTGATTTAATCATAAAAATGAAGAGAAAATTGTCYGTATGCTCACTCTAACTTCCACAGAGATTTTATAAAAATATCTGAAAACCCGATTAAATCATAAGTTAACTCTAAGACTTTGAATCAACATTACAGAGACTGGTTGATTCAGAATGAGTCCACTCACTGGACTGAAAGTGTTTATTTTTGCACAAAGAGTGAAAATGTATTATAAAAACAGGATTATATTAAAATTTTATGTCTTAATAAAAAGGCAGCAGCTGCAGTTAGTTCAATAAAAAAAGCCTTTTTGGTTTGAGCTACTTTTGCTTTAATGATGTGGCAGCAGAAAGATTTTTATCGCCTGCTGTTGAAGGCAAAAGAGGASTAATATTTTTGTTCATGTGTGTGTCTGTGTGTAGTTTGGCTTTTCTGTTTAWTCTCAGTAATCACTGAACGGAGTTGAACTTTTTCAGAAAGTAATCATTACAACTGCTTAACTTTTTGAGATAGCCTGATTCAAGATGATGCCAGAGCAAATGYATCTTAGCAAAAACAAAAATGGCTGAAACTCAGCCAAACTGACAGATAATGGTCTAAAATTTAGGCAAGACAAGAGGCATACATGGACAATAAAGATACATTAGAAAGATTCAAACAAACTTGAAGCACAGAAAATATTAGAAAATAAACACAGATATTCACATGTACAAAACAATATTGTACAATATAATGTCAACTTTGTCTCTCATCAAAATATGATTTTAGCCTTTAATTCTGAAGGGGCTTTGGTTATGTTAGCTTTTGTTCTAACTTAATGATTGTCTCTCTGATGTAGCTCCGCCTACTTCACCAGAAAACCTGGGTTGATTGGTTTAAAGTCAACTTTATACTAYTAGTAATCAGGATTACATTTCTTTAGTTTAATTAAGCTAAAGGTACTTAGTATAGGTTGAATTTGCTCTGTAGTACAGGAAGTTTTTCTTTTATCAGCAGAGCAGTAAAGATAAATGATAACTAGGCTGAACTTATAAGATGTTTATCAACTYTAAGGACTCCACAGCTCTTTTCACTACAGTCATTCACACACTGATGGTGGTGAGCTACATTGTAGCCACAGCTGCCCTGGAGYAGACCACMACCTCTATGAGGGACCAAGAACCTGCCCATGATGTACCCCACTCTCACCCAATGGCCACCATCACCATCTCCACACCACCCTGTACAGGAAGTATTGGTAATTGTTKTACAGTAATTTCAAAAAGTTTCTTTTCAGTAAGAAGCTACGTTAAACCCATCCCTGTTGGGTTAAAGATGTGGGGCATCCTTTAAAATGTAGCTGAACCGAGCGAACTTTAAGGCTCCTATGATGCGAAAAACAACCTCTGAAGACCTACTGAGGCTCTAATTCTGAATTCAGGGAGGCCTCATGCAGGTTCAGTGCATTCATCATCCAACATTATGCAGAAGTCTTTTGAAGTTTGAATTCTTGCAGCTMGGCGGGTGTTTGAGAAATTGCCTGYATTGTCATTTTTATTCACCTGTGACTCAGGTCTAAATCCTTGGAGGAAATAAAATTATATTACAGCCAATACCTTATTATTGGTCAAATAATTCAGCACCTAAACAGTAATAAGCATACCTTTTTAACATTACAGACCTAATGTACAAGTAATACTTATAAAAGTAAGTATTACTGTAATACTTGTAATCCTAACAAAAAAGAAGCCTATTTAGCCTACCAATTAGCCTAACAGTCACGTTTTTGGTTTGTGGGTGGAAACCGCAATACACAGAGAAAACCCATGCATACATGGAAAGAATATACAAACTCTACCCAGAAAGGTCCCCTGTGCAGGATTTGATTTGGCAACATTTTTTTTTGGGTGGCAACAGCTCTACCAACTGAGTCGTCATGCTGCCTTCAGCAGTTCAATAACAATAATATTTTATGATTAAAAAAAAGGTAAACACGAGTCAGYCATATCTGTTAAACTGAGAAACAGGCAGATTCCTTGTTTCCCTCCTTGCTCTTCTTGTTTCACACTGACTGCCTCTCCTCACACATGAATTGTTGTCAATTACAGGGAGGCTGCAGTCCAGCAGTTTACTGAAAAATTAAATGACCCCTCATTAAAAATAAATGAGCTCTGAAATGTATGCACCTGATTTTCAATGCAGCTGAAAAAAACAATGAGAGAAAAAAAAGCCAAGTGACTGATGTAGCCACACACACACACATACACATGGCAGCTGTGTCACACTTAAAAGGCTTTCAGTGTGTGTTTGAGTTGAGTGTTTTTAAAGATCAAAGTCTTTCCACAGGGGAACCGGTGACCTCTGTGTTCCAGCAGAACCCAAATCATCACAGGAGAAGTAAACAAATGAATTGATCTTATACTACAATGCGAGACTGTTTGCATTATTAATGCCGTTACTCTCTTGCTGCACTACATTTGTCATGAAGCTGAGGTGCAACTGTTTTAAAAGAGCTGTCTTAATATCGATTAGGAGCTGCAGAACAAAGAAGCCCAAAGTCTTTATACAAGCTGTAAGAAATGAGCTGTGTTGTTTAATGAACTCATTTTTTTCTTRTAGTTCTATGAAAACAAATTTTCTCAGATTCTGCACCCTTTTTTGTTTTACCATCTTTTTATTTTTAGTGATCTTAAGGCTCCAAAACTCTGACCTCCTTTTTGTTTCACTAGGGTTGGAGTGATATCGGCAAACAAATTTATCGTGATTAATTGTGGCATTTAGCCAGTAACGGTTAACATGACGATTAATAGATGACAACTGCACTTGCATGTGGCTGATGTGGCYTTGGTCCACTTTTTCTGGCTTTCCTTGTACTCTGGTTTATGTTGGTGTTTCAGGTGACTTAATAAGTTTGTTTGCCTTTCACCACTGGACTCACACACCTGATAGTGATAATGGGTCAAACACAAGAATATGTCATCACATGGCTGAACCCTAGTTTAGTCAGATGTTCACCAGTTGAGTGATACAACCCAGATACTACCCCATTGGCAGCTCATCTTTAGCATAAATTCCTCTGATATGAACTGGTTTTTGTGAATCTTAAAAGAACAGTTCAGTTGTTGCATGACCTTATTGGCTTCACTCTGAAATGTCACAGCAGACAGAGTGTCCCAAGTTTCTCCAAAAAGCCCAACAATGATGATGGTGTTGATAAAAGGTGAAAAAAAGAGTGCCTAATGAGGGTGCCACCTCATTGTTGAAAATAATTTTAAATTGAATATACTTCAATATCACAATGTAACAACTTGTGTTACAATGGGTTGAGTTTATTTAAAGAAGGTTTTGTGAGAGGTAAAAAAACAAACAGCCAGTAAAGTTTGCAGACCAAATGTCCCAACATTAACATTTCTCAGCACGTTGACTCCAAAACCTATTTTCATTTAAACTGCTTCCGTCAAAGCAAACTGTGGAATTGGACCCCCCCCCCAAAAAAAAATAAAAATAAAAAAAATAAACAACTGGCTGAGAATACCACACTCACCAAAAACGTCATTGCTGCCAGCGCTGCTTTGTGGTTATTTCTGCAGCAGTTGCTTCGTAACACACTGCACCACAGCCCCCCCTCCAACCAGCAGAACGTCCCCCCCACTGGGTCCCTTCTGCTGCTTCAATCGAGCATTGACCATTCATTAGCTGCACGTTCCCCTTCTACTTGTGCGACACATTAAACAACTCTGTGCATTTCTCCTTCGATAAAACTGCAGAAAGGAAAGGTTTGATTGGACGGAAAAAACAAACAAACAAACAAACAAAAAACAATCTATAAAAGGCTCAGTGCTGAAGTGTTTGGGCTTTTTCACATAAAAAGGTAAGGTACATGAAACAGTTTGGATTGTAGAAAGTGCCACAGGGTGTGTGCAATGCCTGAAATTCACTTTTTC